TGTGCATGAGGTTATATATTTATGCATTTATATATATATATATATATATATATATATATATATATATATATATATACCCATTACATATATATATATATATGTATGTAATGGGTAAATTATTGACATTTTATGTTTTTAATTTCACACATGCGCGTCCTTTGTTTTTGATTTTGTCGACGGCACAGTATATTAGCGTCAGTTGGACACTGTGGGATGCAACTGACTCCGCCAGAAATTTGGAAACGGCATGCTGTACTGGTTGGGTGTCAATTTGAAGACAATGCAGCGGACTCGGAAAGAGTTGGATGATATATCCAGTCAACATTCTGGTGTTTAGAGTGATCAATTAGTGATGGCGACGTTATGTCTTCATTCATCTTCCCACAAGGCCTCACATTCAACACCTAGGCCTACATCAAGTGCCTCTTGGAGGTAGTATTACTCTGGGTCAAGAGGAAGATCTGTGGAAAACCTTATGTCTGGCAACAGGACTCTGCACCCTGCCACACAAGCAGAAGAACCCAGTCATCACCCCTTACATCTGGCCAACTCCCCAGGCTCCAACCTCCTTGATTATTATATGTAGGGCGCAGTTAAGCGAAACATCAACAAAATTCTTTGTCACATCAAAGATGATCTGAAGGCAAAGGATTATGGCAGTATTCACAACTTAAACAAGGAGACTGACCAAAAGAGTTGCAGGAGATTCCAACGTCCTCTGGAGGCCGTGTTCGAAGCCAATGACAATTTTATTGAATAAATTTACTCTTTAGTATTTTAAGATATTCTTGTGTAATTTCGGTAAATATATCTGTTAAAATGAAATGTCAGTGTTATTTTATTTTTGCGTCACTTATCCAACAATTTTTCAATCGTACTATATATATATATATATATATATATATATATATATGAAGAAAAATATACGGAAAAAACAAACAAAAATCCTAATATGCAATTATGCTGTTTTAATGTTAATATAATATCAACGTCGGACGGACATCGTCTTTTCATGTTGAATTGGATATAGTCTAATGTTAATTATGTTTTATGAATATGTCCTGAAGATGGTCTACTAGACCGAAACGTCCGACGTTGATATTATATTAACATTAAAACAGCATAATTGCATATTAGGATTTTTGTTTGTTTTTTCCGTATATTTTTCTTCATACTGTCGGATCTATATCCATATATTTGCTTACATATATACATATATATATATGTGTGTGTATGCGTGCGTGTGTGTGTGTCTGCGTGTTTAAAAAAATTAGGTATAAATAACTGGAAAAAGACAATATAAATAAAGAGAAAATAATTTTTTAAATGCGTTTCGTCTTCTGATTGACATGAAGAAATTAAATGTAGCTTTTATTTTGAAACTTATAGACAAAGAAAATTTAAAATGTTGTCAGGTTTTTAAATTTTGAGAGCTGTAAGTTCTCCAGAGTGTAGCTATTGAGTTTTGCCAAAATGTTAACCTCCGTCTCGGATTTATCTTTTTCTCTCTTTCTAAAACATATAATCCTTTCCCAAGCCAAAATACATGACCATAAAATTTTAAAAATAAAAGGGAATAGTTAAATTAAAACCTATTATTTAAATTAAATATATAAATAATATATCAAATTAAGAGAAAATAATAGATAAATACGACATTAATATATGATAAATAAATAATAAAATATATGCCAATGTGTCTCGTACTTGCCTTGGATATAAATAACTGGAGATATTTGAGCCAGAGTGGAATCAGAAATTTTGAAATATGTCGTATTTGACCGGCTAAAAGACGTGAGACAATGACAAAATCTTTAGCCAGTATTCTTGTTCTCGCTGTTGCACAATATGTGGATTGTATGCAGGTCACTAGCGGAATTAAAGTGTCACATAAGAGTTCGGGTCCTCATACGTCAGCGAGCGAAATAAAGGGTTCATTTCGACATTCCAACCACCTGAAGAAGGCCGGAGAGTACAACGGCCGAAACGTTGTGATAAATATGGCAACAAAGATGAGGACGATAGTCCGAACAACGTAAATAGTGTATATATATATATATATATATATATATATATATATATATATATATATAGTTTTAAGGTGTGCTATATATCAGAGATAGAGCGTATGTAAATATAAATATAGAAGTGAACATTGAACATTTGATTTTTGATTTTTTAACGTTATATAGCAGTAATTGTAAACCTGCAAACTTTGCTTAGAGGAAAGATAGGTATTATTACTTTCCCAGACCAAAATAAATTATTAAATAAACGATCTGAACTCATCTCAAAATGCAGATATCAAAACAAATGTTTACTATGTTACTTAAAAATCGAAATCTGAAATGAATAAACAAAATAATATAAAAAACAAATAAAACAAATTAACGCAAATAATAAACAAATTAACAAACCACTCCTGTTAGAATAGACGAAATAGAATGAATAAAAATAAAAAAAACATAAAAAACAAGTAAAAGTAATCAATCCAAATAAA